GACAGTCAGTATTACCTCTTCATTGGTCGACATTTTATTCCATAAGGTTACATAGTTTTGATACCGTTTTATTTCTGATGATCGTGTTAGAATACATGTGGAAGCATCTGTTGTTTCGGTTTCTTCTTCACTTGTGTTTTTTGGAAATTCTGTACAGAATATGTGTACTAGCGCCCTCTACAGTATAAGAATGAAAACACGGATTCTAGGAACACAAGTATAGCTCAAATATATTTAGACTTTTTCTAAGTATAAGTCAAGTATACTTAAATGTCATTTTAAGTATATTTCTGAGAAGTACATAAAGCCCATTTCTGAGAAGTACATAAAAAGTAGACTAAAAGTATACTTTCCTATTTTTAGTTTAAAAGAAGTATACTAATAGCACACTTGAATAAACTTCTTTTAAGTAAGGGAGGTGATTAAAAAAATTTTTTAGCTTAACTTTATATGCATCTTTCACAACATATTTCGCCTATATCACCATGCATCTGTAATTTTCTTTTGCAAAATTCTATATATGTGTGTGTGTTTGTGTGTGTTTGTTTGTTTGTTTGTTTGTTTGTTTGTTTGCTTGTTATTAATATATTTTATATATAAATTATATATATGTGTGTGTGTGTGTGTGTGTGTGTTTGCTTGTTAGTTATTTTAAAAGGGCTTTGATGTCCAAACATAAGTAACACTGTAAGAGCATTACTAAATAAGTAAACCTAAGAATGTACATTCTGTTATTAAATCCTTCTTTGTATATTCTGTAAATTATTATTTTTCTTTTCTGCATTTCACCTCTGCTATAGTTTATTTATAATAAACCTGGCATTGTATAATAAATATTGTTGACTCTGTGACAGATTGTTAATGTTCCTAGATTCTTCCATGCTGATGGCCGTGCACTAGAGTTGGAGCGTATCTCCTGTCGAAGAAAATATCTAGACATTATGAACCATATGACTTGTAAGTCAGTGTCACATGATCCTTCAGAAATCATGCTTTGTGAAAACAAGAATAAATTACATTTTACAATATATTCACATAGAAAACAGTTATTTTAAATAATAATATTTCACAACATTACTGTTTTTATTTATGATCAAATATATGCAGTTTTCTTGGTGAACATAAGAGACTTATTTCAAACTTAAATAACACAAGGGATTCGAATATTAATCCATTTATTCTAATAAAATCCAAGAAGCTCTTAAAAATATTAACATAAATAGTCATTTTTTCCTCTGGTGATTTGTATTGTATATGTGCAATGCACAGTGACGTAGATTCCCATTCTCTATCTACAAGCTACACACTCTCACACTGTGTCTACACTGGATGCGACAAAGTGACTGTTAAAAATCATTTGAATTTTGCGTCAGTACATCATAAATAGAACGAGGCATCAGTTTACTGTCAGGGATTTGTTGTGTCGCACCGCGCCGCATCCAGTGTAAACAGCATCACTGATTATAATAGGTTCTATTGTATTTTGTTGTGCCGTTCTGTGTAGACATGGTGTTAGAACTCTTATTAAATACCATTACATATGATGTATTTGTAAGTGTATTTATTTCTTGCTCCGTGTTTAGCGCAGTTGTCGTTGCTAGGAAACGCTTGTTTTGTTTACTGTGTGGAGACGTGCTGAAATCGAGTTTGGTCTGGTACTGTATTTCACACCCTAAATTTTGTGCTTCCTGATCCGAACCCGTGCTCTAAAGAACGCTGAAGGCGAACAGAAATTAGATATTCAGCTCTCTGTTTGCAGCGCGTCAGTCACGCGCGTCAGGAATGTGAGTGAAACACACACACAAACACATTTTTATCAAATAATACGTCATTAATAGCGGTTCACTTCCGCGATTTGGTACGATTGCGTTCACATCAGCAGCGAACCGTACCGGAGTTCACATGAACCGTACCCCAGACCACCCTTTTCAAGCGGACTCGGGTACGGTTGGCGGGTGCGCACCCGAGTTCGGAAGACAGCGTTCACATCATCCAAACGTGCTAAATGACTAAAAGTAAAGTAAAAGTAAAGTATTTATGATGCCATCCATAATCGATATAACTTTTCTATTTCAGAGGCTGAAAATCATCAATAAACCACAAGGTAATTATAACTTATTTCAAGAATAATAAGAAGAATAACAAGAAAAAATATAAATGCATCTGTGACTTAATATTGCTTATTTTTCAGTGGGTTGAAAGTTCTCATTAAACACATTGCTTTCTTCTCACCTTTGTGCATTTTCAGATGTTGTGCATATTTATGAATCAAAATGTTTAACTTTTAACTTTAACTTTTTAACATCGTAATATTTGTTGTCTTATTTCTCTTTTCAGAGTTTAGCTCCAACCCCAATTAAGCAGACCTGAGCAGCTGATCAAGGATCACCAGAAACTTTGCAGAACGTTGGTCCTCCATGCCCAGGACTGGACACCAGTGTTGTAAGTCATCAATCTAGCAGTCATCCTGCCTCTCTGAACTGTCATGTTCAGAACATATTGCTGGAGATCGCAACATTGTCTCTCAAGGTTCACTTACATGCAGAGTTTTGCTCCAACCTAGTGCAGTGCACCTGAGCAAACTAATCAAGGTTTTCAGTTTTACTAACCATAAAGTCACAAACAGGTGAGTGTGATCAGGTGTGGACCTAAAATCTGGGTGTGAATCACTCAGGTCCCTTGCTCTGTAGTCAGTGGTTAAGGGCTGTCTCAATCACAAAATTTTGTTTGCTCCCTAAAAAAGCTGTGAAAAGCAGGAAGCATCCGATGCTCACAATGTTCCCTTATAGGAAGTTCTGAAGCTCAAAACTTAAGAGATAATTCACTACAAAATGACACGTGATAGATTGTAAAACACAAACCAATATTATATTTCAGCATAAACATACATCACTAAACAGGTAATGTCTAAT